CTCTTACGGGGTAGATCGAGGTATTTGCGGCCCACTATCAATCGCGACAGTAACGGAGACACGGGGTAGTAAATGACCGAGTAGAGAAGGGCTGAGGCGAGAACTTCGTGGATGTGGATCGGCAGTGTCGGCAGCGAGAAGTAGTCAGCAAAGGGCTGAGTCGCCTTGACGAGCCATGGCAGTGGCTCGAGAAAGAAAGGATCTTTCATTCTTTGTGTTGACGCCTTGATTCGAGTTCAGCTATCTGCTTCTGCTGTGGAGGGTCTTGAAAGCTGCTTCGGTTCGGGAGTGACAGGAGACTGTGGTATACTGGGGAGACGGACGAGAGTGGGCTGCGTGGCTTGATTGCGGCGCTGGACGTTTGGGATGTCTTCCTTTTCAAGGTATTCTCCGACAGGAAGATTCTGTCACCGGATCGATTTGTCAGTCTATCAAATGCTTGAGGTGAACGAGACAAGATAAACAAACGTGAGCAATGAGTGAGTGGTTCAAGGTCTCGTGTGGCTATGAAGCAGGCGAGGTAAAGCAGGGGTCGGCGCGCGGGGAGCAGACGGATTGTTGGGGAAGCTAAGCTTGATGGAGGAGGACCCTTGAAGACTTGTAGCACCTGGCCACCCGCCAGCTGCGTCGTGACTTTAAGAGGTGCCCTGAGTTGAGCACTGGGCACAGAGGTGGGGGCGGCCGTGAGCACAGGTTCACAGACAAGAAGTGTTTCTCAGGCAGTTGTTTTCGAGGCCGTTTCCGCCTGCGCCCTAACTTTGTCTTTTTATTAGCTACCTTGCGCGTCAGCTGCACTATGGTTAGGGGTCGTGGGATGCTATGGCCAGAACTAGCTGTCCGTCTCATGACGGCATCACACGCCTAGGTAGCGCAGTGTAGTTGATCGAGGCGGTGCTATGAAGTGAACCGTAGTAAAGGAAATCGGCGGGGGACTGGCCCCAGTTCCAACCCTTTATTGCTTGGGTACGGGATCCGTACATACTGCAATATGAATACTGAAATAATCAGTAATCAGCGCCCAGGAGGTTCAAACATTCCTGCGCACGCGGCCATCCGTGCTGGTGCACTTGTGTCCGATCTTGAATGCTACCTACCCAAGCGATTTCTCCAATAGCATGGTGCCTACCTAGACTGTGGGGAGGCCAGGTGAGACCAACAGCATACCTAGCTGGAGTCCTCGCTTTAAATGGTTTTCTGCTTAAATTCATCGGCATAGCTTAGCTATGGTACCTTACTGCGACCCTACACTACCTTAGTCAGGTGGATGCCTTTCGGTGTGCACCTACCAAGCTACCTTATCTTGAGGTAGCCTGCTGGTGGTGCCACCACTTGCTCCTGCCCCAAAGTGACAGAAAACCCCTTGTTCTATCCAATGACATCTACCTGCTGCCCAAGGTAGTTATCAACAGCAACTTTCCAATGTGAACAAGCCGCCAATATGGCTGATGTTCTCCTTGATTTACTCGATGCTCGGCAGTCTACGAGCCTCGCTACCGACGCCAATGCTCTGTTCAACCCGACAACTAGGTCAACCAAGCTCGCATACCTGTCCCACCTCGCTGATCAGAGTCCGGAAGCACTAGCCTCGACTGAGCCTCAATCCCTGGCCCAGACATCACATTCACTTCTCCTCTCGCTCCAAGGGGTCTCAAAGCGCTCTCACAAATCCATCATCGACTCGGCTTCAAACCACACTGGCCTGACCCGCGCATTGCCCACTCTTGTTGCAGACACGGCAGACCTGCGCAATGCCATTCCCAAGCTCGAATCAGAGGCCCTGCGCTTTTCCACCATCTACAGTAAATCCAGGGACAACGAGGACTTGGCCGAAAGGAAACGCGCCTTACTGCTACTGCGCAATGTTGAACGTCTCGTCGACGTGCTGGAACTTCCTACCCTCCTCTCTTCCGCCATCAATACTGTTCCTGCTAATTACGCGTCCGCTCTCGATCTCAATGCCCACATTCGGAGACTTCATGGCTTGTATTCATCTTCGCCGCTGGTCGACCTCGTTTCCCAACAAGCTGACGAGGCCATCGTGAAGATGACGGCCGATCTCATCGCTGCGCTCAAGTCCCCTGGACTCAAGCTGGCCGCATCACTGCGAACGATCAGCTGGCTCAGAAGAGTGCTTCCGGACATGTCTTCAATGAGCTCCACGAGCCGCGGTTCTCAGGAACACACCCTCTCACTACTTTTCCTCTGTTGCCGCGTAGCCACCTTGGACGCTACCTTGGGGGCTTTACAACCCCTTCGTGAGCTAGCTGATGACGAGAGGCAGAGGCAACAGAGCGCCAATCAACAGTCCTGGTCAGGCGGGCAGCAGACAGAAAAGTATCTCAAACGCTATGTCGAGATCTTCCGTGAGCAGAGCTTCAGCGTTGTCTCCATGTTCAAGAGCATATTTCCCAGCACTGGATATCAGACCGGAACTACTTACGACGACGAGGATCCTTTTAGACCCATGCCATCAACGCTATCGACATTCCCACTTCATCTTGTGGAGATGCTTCTCGAAACCTTGACAATATATCTTCCGGTTGTGAAAGACCAAGCAGCAAGGGATAGTATCCTCACTCAAGTTTTGTACTGTTCAGGGAGTTTGGGCAGGCTCGGAGGTGATTTTGGGATGCTCTTGGCAACCTTGGGGGACGAACACGAAGTAACGAAACAGTCTGAATGGGTTGACATAGTCAAGAGGCACCGATTACTTTCTGGGCGCCTTGAATCGGTTATCGGCGACTTCAAGGCGACAGGGGCCAAAGAGGCGTAAGTCCCGAGTTGTTGCTAGTCGTGGTAACGTGCTCGGGGCACGTTCAAAGGAGGATGACTACAAAGGCGGAAGGCAGGGTCGAAGGCAGGGTCGAAGGCAAGGTGGAAGGCGAGTCCACAAAGCGGAAAATCATCTCCACCTCATGAAAAGGAGGTTCGACAGCATGTTAGTCATCGTAAGCAGTTGGCATTATGTTTCTCGCTGCGCTCGGATAGCACCAAACCGGCAGACGAGAGCATTATGCTCTCGAGTAGCTCACCGGATACAACCAGAGGTTCTATTTCTTCAACGTTGTGTGAGCAAACGTCGAGAATCGGGTCAGGAACGCCGGGCCTGCCGGAGGCTACCTGACCGGAAAGACCCGGTCGGACCCATAGGATTCATATGTATATAACCGTCATTACACCGATTATTGCTCCCTGACTTTCTGCTAAGCGTTGCCCGATACGGCTAGCGACTCAGAAGCACCGACCTGCCTTGACGACCTTGCCTTACCTCAACTTAGCTACCTCATGTGCTTATGTAGATATCTAGCTACCCTGCCAGCCGTTCTGAAAAGTCATCACGACTTGTAATCATTCTTCCCTTCTCATTCTGCCTTGAAGTCCATCACATCTGCTTAGGCAACCCGTATATTTAGGATAAGAACATCTACGGTTATTGACGCAATGGCATTTGCTTGTAACACTCATTTCCACACATAAAACAAACTCGCCGCCGCACCACCCGATATTGCACCGCAGTTCGCCCAGTATCATCTCCCCGTCTAAAAGATACGACACCAGCTCTCTCAGAAGTCCCCATGTCTCAACAGGCGACTCCGGGCCGCACAAAATCATGTAAGAAAAGGACAGGCACACTTATTCACCTGCCACTGTCTGGTCATATGCATGACTCCCTGCGAGCTGCCACTTTGAAATTCTTCTCTAAACTCACCCGTGATCGAGGCTGCGCTGACCTGTCCCTCTCCTCTCACAGCTCGACATTTCGTCGCTGGACTAGGTTCCGGCATTGCATCGGCAGTGCTGCTGCAACCGCTTGACCTACTCAAGACTCGTGTTCAACAATCTGGCCACCGGTCACTGACGTCGTATCTCAGGGAGGTTGCCGCTGCTCCCAACAAGATCCAGACGCTTTGGCGCGGCACAATCCCGTCAGCCCTCAGGACCGGCTTCGGTTCGGCCCTCTACTTCACATCCCTCAACTCCATCCGCCAGCATGTGGCCCAGTCGCGCTTATTGAGCCAAGCCGCCGGCAACAGGGCAGCACACTCGTCCTCACTACCGACGCTAACCCCATCGGCCAATCTGGTCGCCGGCGCCGTCGCCAGGACGTTTGCCGGTTTTGTCCTCATGCCGTTGACCGTCATCAAGGTTCGATATGAATCCAATTTGTATTCCTATAAATCCCTGCTCGGCGCGTCTTCGGACATATACAGGACGAATGGTCCGCGAGGATTCTTTGCTGGCTTCGGTGCTACCGCCGTCCGTGATGCACCTTACGCGGGCATGTATGTATTGTTCTACGAGCTGCTAAAGAAGCAGCTTAGCAGTCTGTCTACTCGAAAAGACAGCCCCAATCCGAATCGCCCCGTCGCCATTACAACATCACATGCAACGCTAGTCAATTTCAGCTCTGCCGTCATGGCGGGTGGAGCGTGCTCCGTCATCTCGAATCCTTTCGATGCTATCAAAACGAGGATTCAACTGCAGCCAGCTGTTTACAGAAACATGTACCAGGCTTGCCAGAAGATGATTTCGGAAGAAGGTGTTCGGTCACTTATGGATGGTGTTGCGCTCCGCATGAGCAGAAAAGCAATGAGTTCAGCTTTGGCCTGGACTGTGTATGAAGAACTGATGAGAAGAGCTGAACGCACTTGGTCCTCAAACTTGACGACGACAACGACAGCGGAGCCATAGCGAATGGGCACTCCAACATACAATCCCAACTTGATCCACTGAAAGAAACCCAACGTCCCGCAAAGACGACTTGTACTAGTAGCCGATGGTATATATTCCCCCCGAGAAAGAACAAATAATCTGGGAAGCTCTAATAGAGCGTTGGGCATCTAAGATATCTTGTGTGGTGTGATTGTAGGATGTTGTCCCAGACACAAACACCCATCCTCGCCTTCGATGCGATAAGAAGTTTGATGTACTCGGTCCAAATGGCGACCAAAATGTCGCCTTTCCCCCCTCCTTTCCTTCCTCCCCCTTTCCTCCTCAAATCATGCTGGTTTCGCTCCCGCAAGGTACATGAGGAGCGCGGGTGACTTGCTTCTCTTCCGGTCACTCTTCTTTCTGACCCATTCAAACTCTGGTTCGTGGCGGTGCGACTTCTTGTCTTCGATCTCAAGTACGAGCTTGGATGAGCGCTTCTCACGAATCGACCTGGTGTGTCTCCAAAGGGTATCTTGCTCCCATTCCGGCACCCATCGTCTGATGAGCACGTAATCAGGATCCTGAGATAAGTCAGCAGATGCAACAGAGGTCAGTCGCCTTCTGAGTATGCTTACAACATCCATTTCCCATTCAACCTGATATGTTCGCAAGGTTTCAATCGAAAGATGCTTCCGTGCCATACGCGTGTAGGTTGGGCGATTCCCAGCAACGAGCGCGTTTTCATGCTGGGCTGGTCTTTGTCGCGGTGGCTCCGGAATCTTCTCCTTCTTGAGGATGGCAGCAATAGCCTTGTCGTCAAGACCTGATTTACGTAGGTCCTCCTGGAGACGTCTTTGGTACTCCTTCTCGCGCTCCTCCTTCTCCTTCTTCTCCCTGGCTAGCTTGTCCAGCTCCTTTTGACGCTCTTCCTTGAGCCTTTGCTGAAATTCCTTTTCACGCTGTTCCTTTTCCTTCTTCTCTTGCGTAAGTCGATCTGCCTCCTTTCTCTTGTAGCGTTCTACGGCATCGGCAGCTTCCTTTTCTCGCTTCTTGGATAAGTCTGCCTTCCGCATGTCCTATTGGTACTTTTCCAGCTCGATCTTGGTCTTGAAGCGCTGTTCTTCAGCAGCGCGAGCCTCCCGGGTTCGGATATCTTCGAGATCGCGCTTGGCACGTTGGAGCTCAGCTTCCTCCCGGAACTCCTTTTGAACCCGGCGTTCCTCTTTCTCACGAGCCTGACTGATTCTGAGTTCCGCCAGCTCTTGTCGAGCCCGTTCTGCCTCATAATCCTCCCGGGTCATGTAAGAGGATGAAGGTGAGCGGGAATGAGATGAGTGACCACGGGAGTGAGAACGGTGACGGCTGTGGTAGACCTGCATGTGGCGGTCGTCCTCATCATCGGAAGAATGTTCGTTGTAAATACGGTTGTTGATAATTACAGGAGCCGGGGCCGGAGCGGAGATGGAAGCCGGAGCGGGACCCGGTGGAGTGGAATGGCGCTCACGGGAACGCTCTCTTGACCGAGTGCGAGTGGTTATGACTGTGCGCTCAGGAGCCAAGAAGCTAGGCTGTTGACCTGCTGACGGGTAATAGTTCCTACTGGGTCTCGATCTCGCTTCAACATAGTGAACCTGTGAAGGCGACGGTGCCCGACGCCTCGAGACTCGTATGTCAAGGTCATCCGAATCGGAGTAGTAGCTGTTACTCATGGTGCCTAAAGCGCCGAACGGCTCAACAATGGTTGAAGTTAGGATGGTGTGGGCAGCAGCGGAGAGTGAGAATCAGAGGCTCAGTCGCTAGATACCTCTGTGAACCTACGAAGTAGGAAACGATAGGTTTTATGAGAGAAAACACAACGACGGCGAGCAACCGGAGGGAGGGACAGGTGGTTTAAGAGGGGTTGGGGGCGGAAGAGTACAACTCGATGGTCTTTTATGCTTTTTCTGGCTTAGGGTACTAGAGTAAGGTAAGAGCTGAAGGGGGGCGACGAGATGCGCGACATGAGGTAGTGGTTGCTGGTCGGTCGGCTTACATGGCTGGCATGGTAGAAAGGGGAGCCAGTGGTTGGATTGGCCATAGTGCGAGGATCGAGCCAGGTGGAGGGGATGGCCCACCAGGCCTAGGAGGGAAGCTAAGCGACCAGGTTAGGAGAGGGGGTTTGTACAGGATGACAGGGCCTAGTGTTCCAACACCGTCCGAAGAGGGAACCCAAGGTAAAGGTAAGCGTGATTTAAAAGAAGAAAAATGCTGAGGTACCTAAAGGAGGGTAAGGTAGGGTACCTACCTACCTCACGAAGTTGCTGTGAATGAGGGGCTGTGATGTGGGAGCGGTGTCGCGGGGGCAGCGACCGCTAAGATAACTAGTAGGTAGTTCGAGATGGGAAGAAAACGGGCTGAGGTTGTCTACCTAGGTACACTCAACAAGCGGACGCCAACGCCGCAGGATCATATGCCGGCGTCATAAATTACAACCCTTGGTCAATAGAAAGAGTATCAGGCGTACGCGCCTAGCAATTCGAGCCTGACATCTTCGAAGAGGACGCCGGACCAGAAACATTCACCTCGAGATGGTGTACTTTCCTCACTCCCATCTGTTGGTATATCGGGATCAATGGCGGGGCAGTCAGCATCGGCAAGGCACGGGGCCGACCGTTCATTCGTCGGTTCATCCGCACAACGGATGGATGACCGCCATCCCACCTGGATGGCCGAAGATGCGTTAATACGGATACCTAGTTCTGGACTTATCGATATGTACTGGGTGCCTCCTTGACCTGACCTCCGTACATAGTTCGGCGCAGGGTGGCAGGTGGCAGGTGGCAGGCATGGCAGGGGAGGTACGCAGATATCCTCCCATTCGAGGCCCGAAACGGCTTAGCCTGATGTCGTAGGGCTGCGCGATTGCTGACAGAGTGGGTTCGACGGCCTGTATCCGTACGTACGGAGTACTGAGCATGGACGGAGCACGTACGTAGCACGGAGAAGGACCTAGCAACCGTGCTGACCTACGCGCCTAGGTACCCAAGGTGCCTAAGGGAAGAATAAGGACCTAGATGGTTTCAGTGGGCTTCTTACCTAAGGTACCTTGCCTAGGGAGCCTTACCACAGGGCGCTCGCTATAAACCCGTGTCTCATATGGCAACTTGAGGTGTTTGCTGGTACGAATAGAAGCGAAATGGGTAGGTGGTGCTCTCAGAGCATCATTTACCTCACTGTGGTACTTTGCCAGACCTTGGGTAGGGAGGCAAGGAGGGTACCTAGGCACATGTTGTAGGTGGATGGCACTGCAAATCCCTTGTGGGGTCAAAGCCTCCAACCCCGGCCCCGACACCCCGGTCACCCCCTCACTTCTGAGTCCTCCAGCGATGAGCGGCAAGCCCTCACGTCTCCAGCAAACCGCCAACCATCCATCAACCCAACCCACCTTACCAGGCAGCCGTTTTTGGGCCCAGTCGTGGCATCTTGCGAGAACAGTCTGGCTGGCGCAGTGAATCATTTTACTCAGGCCATGGATTCCTTGCCCTGGCTAGGTGGTCAAACATGGACCAATATCGTGAAGCACCCTTTTCGCGGCTGCCTGCGTACCCAGGTAATAATAGCACCCCGAATCGGCTCGTGTACCCTCAAGTACCAACGGGCCAGGCCTAGGTCACCAGAGCTGAACCTCAGCCGCCGGGTCTTACCTTGGGTGTACACACACAAACACAGTAATGTACCACAAGAGGGCTGACCGCCGGTAATTTGGAAAGGAAGGGGAGACGACCAATATAGTTTAGATGGGACTGCTCTTTTTAGAAGCTGTTGGCGGCAAACTCGCCCCAGTCGCGTGGTACGACCTCCTAGACCCTTCTGCAGGCCTAGAGCGATTAGAACATAACATCATCAATGAACGGAAAACGGACAGGAAATGGCTACATCGTACTACCTTAAAGCACGCTTGAGTGTACCCAAGACCACCCGGGCGGCGGTTGTCAAAATGTCCCACCAGAGTCTTATTCTCCCACCTCACCCAGAGAAGACCAATCTGCTCTAGACGAACATTCACACGAGACCGTTGACATTGGACTTTGCCGACGTGAGAGAGAGAGAGAGAGAGAGAGAGAGAGAGAGAGAGAGGCGCGGCGCGGCGCTTGAATCGTTGGCGCACGACACTCGCTCATCTTCGTCAAACTGTTGGCAGTAATAGATAAAGTTCAGGTTCATCTTCCACCTCTTATCAGTGCGTACGAGTATATCTTCCCGATCTCCAGTCACCTCACAGAGTCATCGCTCATATGAGAGTCGTTACCGCATGCTGACACGCATGAATCGAGCTCTGAATCGCAAAGAGTGCTCTTGGTCGTCCATCACAGCACCGTTGCTTGCGCCCTCATGTTCGCGAGCCTGTCCCAACTGTGGTCAATTCGATGCTCGAAGAACCCCCCCCCCCCCCCGGACGAGGATAGCATCAAATGGCCACTAACATGCACAAGTACTTTGCTCACGCCGCATTGCGAGCGATGGCTCGAAAAAATACGTCTTCAAATGCTGTACTACCCGTACTCGGAGCCGCAGAAGTGCTTATCAACTCGGTGATGCTTGTCGTCCCGTCCCGATGCTTAAAGAGGATTGCATGACAAAACATTCCACCTCCGCCTTTTCTTCTGTTGTCCCCGATGCGATAAGCTCCTAACCCCATCATTTGGCCCCCCTACCCTCTGGTCTCTTACAGAATCTGTCATCATGACTGCGCCTTGAGCATCTGGTCAATGTGCTGCCGGCTGTTCTTGTACGTTGTCTCCAGGTAGTGCAGCTTCTGGCTCAGCTTCTCAACCTCGCCCTCCCTATCCTTGATTTGACCCTCCAGCTTTTGTGTAAGCTGCGGGGTGGGTAACGCGACGAACCTTTTCCGCCCCCGAGGCTCGGCGTCAGCAACGTAATCCATATACTCTGGTCCTGGCTGCAGCCGCTTCGTCATCCGACGTCCGTCAAACACGGAACTTGGCTGCAGCGTACACAATCACAAAATAAGAACATGGGTCAGCAGGGAATTTACGTACATCTTGCCGACACCTTCGTAGACGTTCAAGTTTGAGGGCAAGGTGGAAACCTCATCAAGCGTCAGACGGACCATGCGCATTTCTCGTTGCTTTGCCGTCATCTGTGTGCGTGCCTGGCCAATCTGCTGCTGGGCCACGATTGCTTGGCTTTCGATTTCTCGGATCAGCTAGGCAGATACACGTGTGAGTAGGCGGCAGCTGAAGCGCAGAGTAGAGACCAAAGGCAAGGGGTTCCATCGTTGTTGTCCTCTCACCTTTTCAAGCGCTTGGTTCGGGATAGACATGTTGACTTGATGTAACAATGAGACGGTTCCTGGCGGGCCACGTTGTATCGATGCCCCTGGCACTGGCAAGTGGCTCTTTGTAGCTCAAACGATAAGGCTGTCGCGGAGGAAATCGTGGTTTTCGCAAGTGAACTCAGTGTCGTTGGCGACGATGTTGTGGGCAGGCTGAGGCGTGAGATCGCAACTATGAGATGGGGTTTTCGTTTGGCTGAAGCTCGCGACAAGGTGGGGATAATTAGTGGATGGTGAATGCGTGTAACTTTAGTTTGTAGTGGACTGGTTTGGAAAGGCGGTATCTAGCCATACAGGCAAGTGGGTGACAAAAAAAGTGATGCACAGTACCACACCGAAGAACTACCACTTCCTCATACCCAGCAATGCCTACTTTAACCTATTTTTGAGCTTTTAATATTTTAAAAATAAGAGAATGATCTTCTCATCTTCTAATATAATATCCTAGAAAACCTAATTAGTATTGGTCTATTTGGGTCGTTGTACGAGTGGTCAATCTTGAGGTTCTGGTAGAAGGTAGTGTGTACCAATTTTTGGCACCAGCCTGACAGGTAAGGTATGGACCGTCACAAATTAAGCAAGACTCTACGGCACTCCTTGCCTACCTCAAGGTACCGTGGCACCGTGGGTACCTCCCAGTGGAGAAAGGCGTTTGTTAAGATATGCAACAAGGAAGAATACCTTCAGGGGATTATGCATTTACCGCTACGTCGTGCTTACTGGCTCCGCACTTACATTACCTTAACTAAGGTACCACGTATGGTAGGGTACCTGAGGTGAGGTAGATGAATAGAAGACGGCATTAGACTACCTTTCACTTTGCAAAAGGTCACACAAGTTCTATATTTTGTTTCTGGCTCGATTCAATTGCAATTGATGGGGTATTTCTAGTATGCCGCAGGTGCGGGCATATGTCATCCTGCCATCTGCGCCCAGCAGTGCTGGCTGCTAGATACATCCATCTGCCAATGGTTCTAAACAGGGCTCCTAGAGGTGCTTGTGTCTTCCTTGGCTTGAGAATATGCGGCTGCTGTCGCCAAACCCTCGGCTTGGGTGCCGGTGCAATCTTACCTTGAACGGTTACCGATTGTCTGTCCACCATTGATATCCTGATTTCTTAGTCCGACTTCTCTGCTTTGACCACTAGCGGTATCGACGAAAGGGACCTTGGCCAGACGAGTTTGTACTCATCTTCGCGGCCCTCGAGACATCTGCGTAGCCATATGCCCCATGTAATGTAGTAGTAAGCTATAACTCATTAGCACATGTCGGAGGTGGGAATGCCGTATGTCCTCTGATCCATACCTCCTATACATCACATTAGCAACAGTCTTGGTAGAAATGACAGTACCGCTCCAATCAGAAAACGTACCAACACCTGTCATCAAGTGCCACCAAGCATGACCCTCTAGCAGTGCGCCCCAAGGCAAACCAAGCTGTCGTCGCCATTGTCTTATTTGGCTGCAAAACGCATTGTCAATATTCCAGATGAGAAACCCCATGAGGAAGACACTGAGTCCTAATCAGTCATGTCAGCATTATAGAACAACATGTATGGTTTGGGGCCGTTCCAAGAGACCTGTTCCAACCATGATCCACATGGTTTTGAGAATGAGATCGGCCTTGTCCTTGTTTCTTCGTGCCAGAACTGGCCGCAGCTGCGTCTCCATGACATACAAGCTGCGTAAAACAACCTGCACAGCGTCAGTCAGCATTTCGATAAGGAAGGCATTCTGAGCGCTGATTGAGTTCAAAGTATTACCGTTGCTGTCAACGCTGCATAGCAGGCCTGGTGGAAAGCCGGATCTTTGGTGATGTGGTAGTAGGACTATTGCACAGTGGTCAAAACGGTGGGTTCTCACAATCATCACGCCGTGGATGGCATTGGTTCAGAATCCACCCACCGTGATAAGGCCAGCCAAGAGGACGAGACCGCCGCCCAATAAGACCGAAAACCTGCTAGACTTGGAGAATGAAAATGTTGCAAAGACCATGAGACACGTGGTGTATATCATGGATAGCTCGTCGATAAGCTGCATAGGGTCTAGCCAAGTAATTTTGTCAGTTCAGTACTCCGCGTGCAGATAGCAGAAGATGTCCTGAGCGAGGAGTGAGGACGAACACTTCAAGGATGTGTGGAAGGCCGTAGAGCCCAGTCCAACGATAACGTATCCGAGATATGCGACTAGGAAAATGCGTGGGTGGCCCTGAGATACGCAATTATGTACGCCTTTGAAGCCAAGCCACAGGAACAAGAGGTTGGTCAAGGTCTTTTAGAGGGTCAAGTCAGTAAAGATGAGAGCTGACTGAAGCAGGAGAATGTGTAACTTACATTGCAAACTTCAGCACAGTAATAAGAAACTACATAGTCCTATGTCGACAAAGGTAAGCAGGGGTCAGCAACACCAAGAATGGCACAGAGCGACCACACAGGTGGACGACGAGTTTCTCACCTCTTCGCAAAAATTCAGAGTTGAGGTTTTTTCTCCCCAGTAGCCCTCTGGAGAGTCATCATTGTACGCCACACGCAAGGCCTGGAACAGTGGAGATGAAGCCATTTGTAACGAACGACCTTGGCCGGATCAACCCGGGCGAGTGAGACAAGAGGCAGAGGGAAATGAGCAGTTGTTTGTCCAGCTCAAATGGGCCCTGGTTCAAAATAACGCAGATTGCAACTTTGCTGAGAGAGAGAAAGGGTTGTACTGGATCTTGGCCACGGTTGCAGAGATTGTGAAGGAATCCGAGTGTTCTAAAATCTTTTAAACTTTCCGTCTACGTGTTCCAAGCGGCACCGGAGACACAAAGGTGAGGAAGCAGAACAGCAAGGCGCGCGCCCGGTGAACACGGAGAATATAAGCGAGAATAAGAGAACGAGAGAAAGGGAGAAGGAGAGAAGGAAAGGGGGGCATATGAGGAGGGGGAGTACCACTAGACTCGTAGAAAGGGCCGGGTCGCTCGGGGGAAATTTGAATCAGTCAGTATCTTGCGACAGACTGGGCCAGATTCCGCCGGTTGAGCTCCAGTTGCACAGTAGAGAGATAGACAGCCACAAGCACTTTGGTTGGTACTCGAAGAAATGGGAGGTATTGCAGGTTGAAAGTTGAAGAGGGCCGTCTTGGACTAATTCGTGGCCTTTGCCCGTTCGTTGTCTGATGTTGAGAAATCCGAGGTATGAGAGCACGACGAGCGTGTGGCCTGCAACTTTGCGGGAGGAGGAAAGAAGACGCACTACGATCAACGCAAGTGATTACGGACTTATACCACAAGGTAAAGAATGAGTTCTGCCCATAAATCAACGAAGATAGCAAAGACAATCCGTGGTACCTCGTTGGTTACACGTTGCAGACACGACTCGGTTTAGCTCTGGTGGACGTTCCGAGGCCCTAGTGGAGGATGACGTACCTTCACCTCTTGCAGCCCCTAAGGTAGGTACTTCGTACCGGAATGCGGTGGATGCACATATGCACGTTACTCGCATGGGTAATCGGATTGGAGGCTCCTATCAGGTCATTTTCCTGCTTACTTTCATGTCTACTGGAACGAGTATCCCAAAATTTAGGAGTTGGTGTTGTGTTGATAGCAACGCAGTGGCCATCTTTTCGACTATTACAAACCCAAGTGATCTATCTACCTTGGAGAATATCTAGTTCGTGTCAAGTCACAACTTGCGTTGTTCTTCGTGTGAAAGGTCTCCATAGAACGCCATTAGCCACTTTAGCAAGGGACCCTGGCAGAAAAGGCACTGTTCACCCATCATATCGTCTTGATGAATCCGCGCCATGGAGCTAATTACCAGGTGGCCGGAAAGATAGAGTATTGGAATACAGTACCATAATATTACGACCTTGGGCTATATATGTGTGCCTATTTTGATCACGTTGGACTCTTATAAACTGCCTCACTTAAAGCAGAGGCAATTTTCAATGTGATACCAGAGCTACACACCCATTGAGGTGGGTAAGTGAGGCGCCCAGCGTGAAACGGTCACCCCTCTTTGAGCTAGATCTTCGTGCTGTAAGAAACTGTAGTTTTCTCATCTGCTAAGTATTGGTGCCGTGTGTACTCTGTACGGAGTACCTCACCTCCCTGCCTTGCCGCGACCCGACACGGAACCGCAACTGCGCTTTGCCCAACCTAAATAAACGATATTGCTCCAGCTCCCTTACATGCCACGTTGGTTGTCCATGTGAGCATTCTTTGTCTACACACCTGGCACAGAGAACCAATACATTCTTCCTTCCACTTGTTCTCAGCCGATCGACGCTCAACCCGATTACTAGCTGCCGCGCTGTACTGCACTGCTCTTCTTGGTCGCAACCGGCCCACCTCCTTCAGCACCACGGATCCCAAAGCTTCTTGCTGTTTTTCGTCACCGAACGCGCAACCTCCACACTTTCTTGTCGAGTACAGGGAAGACAATCAACTCCCTTCTTGCGAGTCGGTAGCACGACAGCTCGATCCACTCCCATCGCATCACGGTCTTTGAAGGCGTACTCGAAATGTTCATGACCTCCGAAACACACAGCAGCCACGAGGCATAGCCCAGCCGTCTTCGTTTCTAGGTATTCAGGACCGATACATCAGCCGATCATCATTATGGCAGCTCCCGCAAAGTCGACGCGTTGGGGCTCTTTCCTCCAGCAGGCTGTTGCCGGCGTCGAGGCCCGTCTCGATAACATGCTTGCTGAGGGAGAGAATGGAGCTATCCCACCGCAAGCTCCCCAGTCTGCTACGGCTTCTACCACGGCTCCCTCCAAGGACCAGCAAATAAGTAAACCACCCCCTCCCTATGGCTCGAACCGTCATGGAGTGATACCACAACAATCGTACTGACCACATCTACTTCAGGCCAGCCTCGATCCTCAACGAGTAGCCGTACCAACGACCGCCTACAAGAGCGTCTTGCAAAGGCCATTGCCGCTAAAAACACCCAGCCGTCCGATGCCCGTAGCATAACGTCAGACTCCCAGAGTGCTCGACCGAGCGCTGATGGCGGCCGTCCAGGAGCCGGTTCGCTTCCAAAACGGGGTGCTGATACTACTAGCCTGGCAAACACTCTAACGCCGGTAGCAGTCCTGACTGAGGCCGCCGTACCCAATAACACCGTGCAGAATGAGGGCGATCTCGTTGAGGCTTCCAAAGAAGATCCTCTGGACAGCCAGCGAGCTCCGAAATCGCCAGAGAGGAGCCGAGACTCGGAGGCTCAACAAGACAGTGTCTCCGCCGCCCCCAGCCCCCAGCCAGAACTCGAGACGGCCACCACCTTCACTGGCAACCGTCTCGAATGCAAGGATTGTGCGGTACTCCATGCACAGGTCGAGGCTCTGGAAGCTAGGGCAGAACAGTCAGCAAAAGAGCAACAGGAGGAGATGCATCGCTATGTCGAACAGTTTGAGTCCATGCAGGCAAAGCTGCAATTCCTGGCACGGGATGCTACAGACGCCGCACGAACGTCTGCAGCGGCGGCAGGTGCGGGGAGTCACGAGCGAATACTTGCCGAAAGGGACATGAAGATTACGGCTCTTATGGACGAAGGCCGGAATTTGGCCGCTACGGAGCAGAAACATCGGGTCATTATCAGGAAACTCAGGGCGCAGATCGCAGGCGACGAGAAAACTTTGGGAGAGCTACGTGCTCGTCAAGAAAAGCTAATTGCCGACATGGAGACTCTGCGGCCCCGAGCCAGCCGCGTTGAGGAACTTGAACAGTCGAACCAAGAACTGCAGATCAAATCCAACGGAATGCAAGATGAACTAAGCGCGTTGCGCGATGAAGTGTCAACTAACAAATCAACGATGCAGAGGCTACGGGATGATCTCCGGAGGGCCTCTGACCAGGCTACTTCCGCTGTAGGTAAAGCGAACGAGGAGGCGCTGACCGCCGAGAAACGCCGCGTCAAAGACCTTGAAGATACCGTTGCTGCATTGCAGCTAGAGCGAAGCCTCATCGCTGGCCGGGCAAAGGAAAGTGCAGCAGAGGCAGAAGCAAAAGCAGCGCGCGCCGCCGAACGCGCCCGTGCCAAGGAACTCGAGATGAAGGGGGAGCTTCAAGCAATGGAGGGGAAGCTGGAGGCGATGCGTGCGCTAGCAGAAGAAGCTTCCTCTGGCGCTGTGGGTGATTCTCAAGTCAAACTTCTGCGTCAAGTGGAAACACTGCAGACGCAGCATGCCATTGCTGCCGAAAATTGGCAGGGTATCGAGGCCAGTTTGGTCGCAAGGGTAGCCAACCTTGAGCGCGAGAGGGATGATGCTCTGCGACGCGAATCAGACATGCGGAAAAAGGCTAGAGAGACTGTAAGGCACATGATTATTCCTCCAGGCCATTTACCGGAGCTTCTGTCATTGAGTATCATTATTCTAAACGATTACAGGCAACCCGATGCAAACGCCAGGATGAGGAGCTCCAAGAGCTCACGAGCAGGTTTCCAAACTACCAACGGGATATCGAGAGTGTTCAAGCTCGTAATGAGACGCTGCAGAAAAGAGCAGAGAGCGCCGAGGCAGCGCTATCTCAGGTGAGGCTCGACCTCGAAAAGCAGCAGGCAGCTTGGAAGAATGAAACCGTTGAGCCCGACCGTCGGCCTTGGCTGGAAGACCACTTACCCGGTCCTGGATCTAGAGTTCAGAGTCGCCCAGACTCGCCTTTGCTCTCCGTACCTACGCGTACGATGAGTAATGACCTGCTACTTCTGCACAGTGTATCTGGCAAGGGTCGTAAGATATCGACCCCGACTAGCGGAACAGACGGCTTCCAAGAGGGTTCACAGCTGGGGAGAAGACTGTCAAGCCAGCCTCCAGCAAGACCGCCCATGCTGCCCAGCGGCTCCAGTTTACCGGTTGCGCCGTCCATTACTTCGTTTGAGTTGCCTCCAGACTCGTTGCCTACGCCCACATCCTACGCAGGCGACAAGGACGATTTGTTTGACGGCGTAGAAACATCGTCTTCACCTCGCCAAATGATGCATGATATGGTTTCTGTGTCAACGGTTGGTGCAGGGCCTTCGGTGCAGCTGGTCGAAAGAATGAGTGCGGCCATTCGTCGTTTGGAAGCGGAGAAAGTAACGTCCCGAGAAGAGCTGGCGCGCATATCGGGACAAAGAGACGAAGCTAGAGCCGAGATTGTTTCCTTGATGAAGGAACTGGAGTCGAGCAAGACGGCTTCAAAACGGGTGACCGAGTTGGAGGGACAGGTTGAGGATTTGAACTCGAGATACCAGACAACACTAGAATTACTCGGGGAGAAGAGCGAGCTAGTAGAGGAGTTGCGGGCTGACGTGCAGGATGTCAAGGCCATGTATCGAGACTTAGTAGAACGCACCATCAAATAAAGGAATCTTAAGTGCTGAGCACACAAACTGAACGTATTCTTCAAGCGGCTGTCATTTGCTGCGAGTCCATGGAAGAGTATGGTCTCACCACCGCCCTGGCTGGGGAGGCAAAATACTGTATGCTATTCCTGTGGCTAGCTCAGCTGACTCATAGCTCTATGCCGTCCTCCTCGGCTGCACGTTCAATGAATCGGCGGACCTGCAAAGGCTCTCGAGCCCCCAGATTAGCTAATGTAGTTCGTGAAGCAGAAGTTCTGTCGAGCTGATATCATCACGTACCTCCTTATCAGGGGCCAAATCTAGAGGTAGACATCCATCATTGTCCTTTTTGTTGATCACGGCGCCAGCCTTTAGCAAAGCTACTGCTGTGTCACCTAAAATAGAATGTCAGTTGTACTTCATATCGCGTAGTTGAGGCTGGGAACGAGACGCACCGTGGCCCTCAGCAATAGCGTGGTGTAGGGCAGTGTAGCCAGAGGCGTCGGTGGCATTGAGAGGACTCCCGTGTTTGATCAGAAGTGACACCATCGGAACTGAGCCTATGGCAGCAGCCCTGTGTATGGCATACTGGCTGCGTTTGTCGCGGATCTCGGTGGACGCGGGCGGGTCGTGGTTGAGAAGCTTCTTTGCGACGTCCAAGTTGTTTTTTGACGCCACAAAGTGCATAACACTCTGTGTTCAACTTGAATTAGGTCCTAAATAGGAATAGCGATAGCAATGAGAGATCCCTTCTACTCACCTGTCCATTATGGTCTGAAACATGCAAGTAATGATTAGAAGGGTTCAAGTTTGGGGGCGCAACAAGCATAATGAGAATATCTCACTCTTCAGGTTGACATCGGCGCCCTTTTG